GAGCGCCTCCAGAGAGATGTAGACAGTCTCCGCAAGGAGACAGAAGAGATGCGGCGAGAGATGGAAAGTCTCAGGAGGGAGGTAGCGGAGATGGTTACTCCGGTGGCTATATGTCCCCCCTCTCCGCCTCGTCCGACGGAGCCCGAGCCGACGCCACCAAGGAAGAGGAGGGCAAGTCAATGCTCTTCCCCGATAGAGGAAGAGCAATTGAAGAGGAGGGCGACGGAGGCAGAGGCGATTACCCTGCCGACGCCACACGAACCCTGCCCCGAAGAGGATCCAGTCCTGCCAGAGGAGGTAGGACAAAGAGAAGAGGAGTCGCCAAGGAACAACGAGGTGGCACAGCTCACCAGCTTGGTCACCAGCTTGGCGGCGATGGTGAGGGACCTCACCGAAGAGGTCCGTGGAAAGAAAGGCCAGGAGGCCACACGTCCACGCGAGGCCCCTTCCCAGGGGAGAAGAGAACAGCGGAGGGATGGTACACCAGCGCCACCTCTGCCAAGGCCGCAGCAAGAGCGGCCGAAGACGTCTACGGCACCCGCCCCGGAGACCTGGGCAAACGTTGTTGGTCGTAAGGCCAAGCGGGTGCAGAAGAAGCAGGCGGTGGCAACAGCGAGTGAAGCTGCACCACCCGCAGCGGCGACAACACGGCTTAACCAAAAGCCAAAGCCGCAGAGGAAGAAGCCCGCGCCGAAGAAAAAGGCGCAAGTGCCAAAGGCCCATGAAATGGCGGCTCTCACCCTTACCATCCCTAAGGGTGGGAAGACCACATATTCAGAGGCAATGAGGAAAGCGGTGGAGACAGTCCCCTCCACCGAAATCCAGCAGCTAGGCATCACCGAATTCAAGGTGAAGAAGTCGGCCACCGGGGGCATGATCCTGCGTGTTCCAGGCCCCGATGGACACCAGAAGGTTGCGGAACTAGTCCGTCGATTGCAGCCAGCATTCGAGGGGGGTCAGAGGTGCGGTTTCGCTAGCCCACGAGGACCATTGAAATGCGCGTCCTCGGACTCGACGACGCCGCGACGGAGGATGAGGTCAAGGCCGCACTGGCCGGGATTGGAAAGTGCCCACCTGAGAACATACAGGTTGGGCAGATCAAGAGGACACCCAGGAGCCTGGGGACCCTCTGGTTGAGGTGTCCCCTGGAAGCAGGGAGGC